TATCTATCGATGATTTCTGTGTTGTTTACTAGGATTTCTCTGGCGATGGTTTGGTTATGGGAAGAGATTATATGTTCCTTAATGGAGCCCTGTTGTTTATGCATCGTTAAACGCCTAGAAAGAGATGTTGTTGTCTTGCCTATATACTGGGTTTTTTGGAGCTTACAGTCCCCAAGTGGGCATTTGAAGGCATAGACGACGTTAGTCTCTTTTAAAGCGTTCTGTTTCGTGTCTGGAGAGTTTCTCATGAGTAGGCTGGCCGTTTTTCTGGTTTTATAGTAAATCGTCAGTTGTATCCTCTGATTTTTGTCTGTAGGGATAACGTTTCTATTAACAATATCTTTCAGGACCCTTTCCTCTGTTTTATGAGCTGTGGAAAAGAAGTTCCTGTAAAATAGTCTAATAGGGGGTATAGGTGTTGTGTTAGTTGTCTCTTCGGAGGTTGCATGACTTTTCACTTTCCTTCTTATGATGTCTTCGATGAAACCATTGGAGAAGCCGTTATTGACTAGAACCTGCCTTACCCTACAGAGTTCTTCGTCGACTTGCTTCCATTCTGAGCTGTGGCTGAGAGCACGGTCGACGTATGCGTTAACAACACTCCTCTTGTACCTGTCAGGGCAGTCGCTGTTGGCATTTAGGCACATTCCTATGTTTGTTTCCTTTGTGTAGACTGCAGTGTGGAAACCTCCGCCCTTTTCCATGACTGTTACATCTAGAAAAGGCAGCTTCCCATCCTTTTCCGTCTCGTAAGTGAAACGCAGCACGGAACTCTGCTCAAATGCCTCCTTCAGCTCCCACCTCATCTCATCCCACCTCAGCTTCATCCTTCCCACCTCACTCAAATGTAATGCCACATCACCCTTCCCACCTCACTCAAATGTAGATATAAAATCAGGGAAACGCAAGTTCTAATCAGTTGTGTATTTGTGAAGTCTTTGAAAATGTAATAAGTTTTACGAAACGCGCCCGTGTCGCGTCAGACTAGAAATAAAAATGAATTTTGGAGAAGTGATTTTTGATTTACCTCCAACAGTGAAGCATAATGTACGAAAGATTGAGAAAATTCGTGTTAGAATTATTAATCTTACTTTTTCGGTCATATTTAATAAAATATATATATATATATATATATATATATATATATATATATATATATATATATATATATATATTTATTACATTAGTTTCTGTGCTAGAAATCAAATTATTAAATTTCTTCAAAAGTGTTACATATAGATTGGTTTTAGATTTACGTATATTAATTTGAAGACTGTTCTCATTTTAAATAACATTAAAATCTTTCTGCAAATCTTTTTTGTAGAGATCTTATGAAATTTGACGGAACGAGTTAGATCAATTACTCTATCACGAATTTTCGTGCTGGAAGATACATACTAGGTTCACTGATCTAACCCTTTCTGTTATATTCAATAATATTATATATTTAAAATGTTAAATCCATTCAAATTGAGGGAAAGTGATTCAGACAATGAGACCGGATATACCGTCACGATCAACCTTAGCATCATATACATACACACTGGGATTATTGAAGCAGAAATTGGCTTGTACAGAATACACAGACTACCCAGCATCCTACCAGAGGCGCTCCGTGGATATTCCTCATATTTCTATTTTGCTTTTCCATCTGAATTATTTCCCGCATCGCTCACTTTCCAAGAACAGCGTATAAATAAATAAATATAATCCAGGCTTTGAAGAAAAAAAATATATAATTCAGACAAAGTACAATATAATAATAATAAGAGAATATATGTCTTTTGTTTTAACCTCGATTCGTGTACTCTCCTAGGAGGAAAACCTAGGAAGATAGCTTTTAAAAGGCTATCATGTAAGAACACTGCGCGCAGAGTCGTTCGAATATCTGTAAGTTTGTTTTAGGCTTCTTAGAAGCTCCCTTTGAGTAAAATTAAACTCTCCCTTAAATTATTCAAACCAAGATTCATAATTAACTTGCTTTAAAAGATAAAACTTAAATATTTAATTTGAGGTTAGTCAATTATTCACTGTAATATCTAAGCATGTAATCCGTTTAGAGGATTTATCACTGCGGAAACAAACCATTTTGTGTAGACTTGTTCCCGCGATCAATTGTCTCAACTCTCGGCCCTGATTACCCAACATTGATACAGCCCTGATTACCCAACATTGATACAGATTGTACTCATAACACTCAATCATTATCCTGTCAGATGTTGAAAATTATATTGACATGGAACTGGCAGTAGCAAGTTTCTTATATCATAGGCCTATTTTATGTATTTTTACGTGTCTTGAATTGGTACAGTAAACATCTAGAGTTTGTCTTTGTTGATATTAAAGAATTTTACGTTTATATAAATATTTACAAAATGGAGACGTAATTCACACAACTCATCGGAATTTGGCTAGATTCGAACGACATTGAAAGTTAGACTGAAGAACAAAATTTTCTTGAGACAAAGAGAAGAAATGGAGAGAGAAAGAGTAAGTGACAGTGAGAGAGAAAGCAAGATTCAAAGGAAACTTCCGGAAAAGAATGCAAGAAACTTTATATTTACATCTAAACTATTTACATTATTTACAGAATGGAAATTTTAATCGACTTCCATCACGCACTCGCCTCATAAATTAAAAAAAAAGTGCACTATATATGATCATCCCTCTCTTATTTGATTCCTTGTTTGCTGCATTGATTATTGCATGATAGCTTGATTGCCATCATTTATTTCCTTAATTCCTGTTTCGAAAACATTTTCAAGATCTGTCTATAAGCTGAAGTTGCCATTAGTCATGTCAAACTATTCAATCATGGAAGCTGTATGTTGGGTATGTGACGTTATGTGTATTTCCCAGTCATGTGAAATTGCATGCAATCATGCCATATACAGGCGATGAGTCACAATAAAGTGGCTGAAATATGTTGACCAATCCACACACTAGAAAATGAAGGGACGTCGACGTTTCGGCCCGTCCTGGACCATTCTCAAGTCGATTGTGACTGAATCGATTTGAGAATGGCCCAGGACGGACCGAAACGTCGTCGTCCCTTAATTTTCTAGTGTGAGGATTGGTCAACATGCCAAATGCATTATTGCAGTGACCAGCAACAGTATTGCAGTGTTGCAGATTGATAGCCAACTAGCTGAGTGAAGCTGTATGTTTTCCCATGAGCAAATGTGTGTATTTTGCTACGTTGAGTGTGTTTGTGGTTTCTTAATGGGAGTTTTTGTGTGTATTTGATCAGTTTTCTAGCACGTGTGGCCTCCCAGCAGGTATAGTGTGGCCTCCCAGCAGGTATAGTGTGGCCTCCCAGCAGGTATAGTGTGGCCTCCCAGCAGGTATAGTGTGGTCTCACAGCAGGTATAGTGTGGTCTCCCAGCAGGTATAGTGTGTCCTCCCAGCAGGTATAGTGTGGCCTCCCAGCAGGTATAGTGTGGTCTCCCAGCAGGAAAAGTGTGGTCTCCCAGCAGGTATAGTGTGGTCTCCCAGCAGGAAAAGTGTGGTCTCCCAGCAGGTATAGTGTGGCCTCCCAGTAGGTATAGTGTGGCCTCCTAGCAGGTATAGTGTGGTCTCCCAGTAGGTATAGTGTGGCCTCCCAGCAGGTATAGTGTGGTCTCACAGCAGGTATAGTGTGGCCTCCCAGCAGGTATAGTGTGGTCTCCCAGCAGGTATAGTGTGGTCTCCCAGTAGGTATAGTGTGGTCTCCCAGCAGGTATAGTGTGGTCTCCCAGCAGGTATAGTGGGGTCTCCCAGCAGCTGGAGTGTGGGCCTCCCAGCAGCTGTAGTGTGGCCTCCCAGCAGCTGGAGTGTGGCCCTCCCAGCAGCTGTAGTGTGGCCTCCCAGCAGCTGGAGTGTGGCCTCCCAGCAGCTGTAGTGGGCCTCCCAGCAGGTATAGTGTGGCCCCTCCCAGCAGCTGTAGTGTGGCCTCCCAGCAGCTGGAGTGTGGCCCTCCCAGCAGCTGGAGTGTGGCCTCCCAGCAGCTGTAGTGGGCCTCCCAGCAGGTATAGTGTGGCCTCCCAGCAGCTGGAGTGTGACCTCCTACCGTAGCACTCAGCAACCACACTGTTATAAAATGCATAAATATGCAAATTAAAAAAGGAATATATTAATGTATGTTTTCATTATAAAATATACAACCAAATTCGTGTGTGCAAAAAGTATGTTTATGTATTATTCTCGACCATTTATAATGTATGAACATCGACACAAAGTTATAAATATACACAAGGGAACACAGGCGAACAAACATACAGATTATAAACTTATACGAACACAGACATACAGCCAGGATAAGAGTGAAGAAATAGCAATGACTTCTCTCTCCTTTTGGCATGTGTATTATCTTCTTTAAGTGACGAACTGTAGCATAGATAAGGACAAGGACATAAAATGAAGAGGCACAGCATGAGAAAGGTGTCCAAATCTGATATTGAGAGGCGAAAAAGAAAGATGTACCAAAAAGTGTAAATCCAAAAGAAGGTGAATGCCTAGCAGAATTAAATCCTCATGCAGACAGAATAATGAAACGATGAGTCGCAATAACGTGGCTGAGGAATGATGATCAAACCTCATACCAGAAAATAAGGAGACGACGACGTTTCGTTCCGTCCTGGACCATTATCAAGTCGATTGTATCCAGTGTGATTGATTGTGCACAATCGACTTGATATTGGTCCAGGACGGACCAGAACGCCGTCGTTTCCTAATTTTCTGGTATGTGGTTTGGTCATTAGAAGGAGATGAAAGATGGAAGAGCTAAAATATGTAAAATAAAATGTCAGAAACAGAAGAAATAAATGATACGAAAGTAAACTAACAGAAATGAGAGAATTGTCACAGGAACTCAGTTTTTCCCTCTTGGTCTGACTCTCAAACCACATAAGTTCAAGTATGTTTATTGAGACAAGAAAGAAATACATCTCAAAGGGATAGAGTAGCTTAGACTATTTCTACCCCCGCTCACACAACACCTGCCCATGACACTCACTTTTCAAAGCCCTAGACGGAGCTCTCGTTCCCTCCCTGGGAGCAGGTAACTATGGTCCTGACGGGGACGTAGCTGGTGGTGTCCTTTGGGCACAAGTCGGGCTGCTCTCGGGGGTACTGTTCCCCTGGAGGGCCTCTTGGGCACGGTGAAGGAGGGGATCCACATCCATCCGGGTAATAGGAGAGAGGAGGGGATGAATCTGCTGCCCCAACAGTCAGGGAAGGCAGGAAGGATGTAGAGGTCTCTGGTGGCAGGGCGCTCTGTGTGGTGGTGGTGATGGAGTCCTTCAGGAGGGCATCTGTTTCCCGCGCAGATGCTATAGTACCCTGTAGGAACAGAAAACGGGGTGTGGTGGGTGGAAAGACGTCGGTTTGGCATCACTGACTTTCGTTACGGCCAGAGATTATAAAAAAAATTACTGTTTTATAATTTATTATTACATAAACAATAGTAATTGTATTTTAAATTTAACAATAAATAAAATCTAAATTATATTAATACAAAATAAAAATATATGTTAAATAATATAAGTAATATAATAACATTTAAAATATATAGTAATAACAATATTAATATTAATAATAATAATCTACCAGAGTCAATGCCTTACTTTCATCTCTATATAGAAATTTGGCTGGTCTCCGTGTTCACGAAGCTCACACAATACTTCCCTCATACTGGGCTTCCGTTCACCACCCTCCCTCACAGCTTCACCAGTGCTGGATATCAAGCATGATAGCTTCACCAGTGCTGGATATCAAGCATGATAGCTTCACCAGTGCTGGATATCAAGCATGATAGCTTCACTAGTGCTGGATATCAAGCATGATAGCTTCACTAGTGCTGGATATCAAGCATGATAGCTTCACCAGTGCTGGATATCAAGCATGATAGCTTCACCAGTGCTGGATATCAAGCATGATAGCTTCACTAGTGCTGGATATCAAGCATGATAGCTTCACCAGTGCTGGATATCAAGCATGATAGTTTCGCCAGTGCTGGATATCAAGCATGATAGCTTCACCAGTGCTGGATATCAAGCACCATAGCTTCACCAGTGTATGGATATCAAGCATGATAGCTTCACCAGTGCTGAATATCAAGCACCATAGCCTCACCAGTGCTGGATATCAAGCACCATAGCTTCACCAGTGCTGGATATCAAGCACCATAGCTTCACCAGTGCTGGATATCAAGCACCATAGCTTCACCAGTGCTGAATATCAAGCACCATAGCTTCACCAGTGCTGGATATCAAGCACCATAGCTTCACCAGTGCTGGATATCAAGCATGATAGCTTCACCAGTGCTGGATATCAAGCATGATAGCTTCACCAGTGCTGGATATCAAGCATGATAGCTTCACCAGTGCTCATACTGAGTTTAGGCATTAACGTTAGCACGAATTACAAGGCCCAACATTATCCCCTTCAACATTTTAGTAATGGCTTTGCAAAACCTGTTAAAAGTTTTGACTTTTAATTGCACTTCACACGAAGCTATAATTGCTATGTGCATATTCGGAAGGTTATTATATTACTTCATTACACAGGCATTTAACAGTGATTAAATTTATTGGCCAGCTAAAATAAGACTAATACCATTCATTAAAGAGGAATTTAAATATAATGTTGAGAGGAATATTTTAGTTGGGTTTTATTTATTCGTGTGAGTGTAGTAGTAGTAGTAGTAGTAGTAGGCATCCATCAGTCTCAGGAGACTATGGAGTTGAGCTCTGGTTGTCGCTCTGGAGTGGCCTCTCCAGGGCGCAAAGACAGGGTAGGTTGATACAGGGGAGAAGCTGTTACCCATGCAGCAAGATCTCCCCCCCTTCTTCTCCACGGCGCCAAAAGTCTCCAATAGAAAGGCAAACTGCCAATACGATTGGTTCCAGCGCCGTCACAGGAAGAACACGCGAGTGTACTTGTCTTTTGTTTTAGTGTAGCTGCTTAGAGATAGGGAAAAAGGAGGGAGAGGAAAGGAGTAAGGGAGGGAGAAAAAGAGAGAGTGAGAGAGAATCTGGAAAGGCGATAATGTTAACTCCATGGTAAAGTGTATTCTTTTCATTGTTATGTCTCATGCTTATGCACTGAATGGATAAAATTATGATTCACCGCAATGCTGAAAAGCTCTCATTTCATATTTCAAACACCAGAACGCTCATGTTCCCAAGCGAGTCAACATATATAAACCAGGAGCTCAACTTTAGTTCGGGTATAGTGTTGTAGAACTACAGCCGATGAGGAATCAAGAGCTTTGAGTCGCTCTGAAAGCAGATCAACCCACCGAAACAATATTCTGACATTTAAAAAAACAAATCCAAAAAATACAAAAGAAATGACAAATGAAAACTGTGAAATATTGATAAGTTGCAGGGGATCTAAAGAAGCAAATTCCCATTTCTTTCAGTGAGGAGTAATAGTTAATTTCGTAAAATTAAAGAGTTGGAATCGTTGGCAGCACGACCACTTAAGAGAGTTGACGCAACTGTAGTTACCAGTGCCAAGGAGAGGCTGAACTATTTGCTTTTCGCATCACGAACATGAAGACATTTACTGAACAAACGCTTTTACTTCAAATGAACAAATCCACGAGGGCCGTGACAAGGATTCTTTTACTTCCCTCTTTTTTACACAGACCTCTTTTACACAGGCTTTTACTTTCCTGTGCTTCCTTCCCTTACCAGTTTCTACTTTCCTGTAACTTCATACGACATAAATTAATATGCCTTTTACTCGTGACGAATAATAGCATGGCCTAATGAGACTAAGTTCCAATATAAATTAAGAAGTCTCAACCTGTAACCCCTTCCTGGCCTGCACTAATCAATCAAGGATTAATTAGTGCAGTAGCACATATCCACAAAAACATGAATCAAGAGATTAGTATAACAATTTAAGGCGATGTCTTTGTTCACAATCGATGGGAAGGTCTTTGGAAAAATAACATAAAACCAAATTAATTGTTTTTTAAAGTTAAAATGTTGCTGCAACATTTGATAAGATATGTGTGGTCCTAACGTGTGGACTTAACAGACTTGAAGTTGAAGGGTATCATTTACGCCTCGTTTGTAACTACTTAAGTACTCGAACCATCCAAGTTCTCAACAATCAGTCCTCCTGAGAACTCTGACATAGAGGTTAGTTTACGTCAGGGAAGTGTGATCGGACCACTCATGTGAAAAGTCAGCTGCCATGTCATCCTGAAGTCGATTCAAGAGGCTGTAGCACCTGTGCAGATGAGTACCCTGACTTTCTCAAGTGATTACGTAAAACCCGTCAATAAAACCCTTCAAACGTTAATCTTGGACACAATGTTTGCAAGTAACTGTTGACTCAGATAAAATCAATTTATCGCTGTCTCACGCAGCACGAAATATACCGTCCTGTCAAAAGAATAAAAAATAAAAAAATACACAAATCACCACTTACCCAATTGGGAGTTAAAATTGATGAACATGTATTTCGGAGGAAATGTGAATTTTGCAAATGATCTAGGAAACTAGCATGTCTATGGAAGATAGCGCATCGCCTAGACACTAAAGGGTACAGTAGACTATTCAACACGTAAATCAAATCTATAATGGGGGTAATCATTAATTTAGGATTGTTATCTTAAATTCTTATCTAAAATATTAGGCAAACGTCAAGACAAATCCACGTACCTAGAGAGAAATGAGTTTAATGAACCTGACCAAATGTCGTACATCCAAAGTTGCCAACACTGAAGGTGTGCGGCTGTTCTCTGTGAAATTGATAAAGTTCACAAAATAATTTCTCATCATTTAATCGTTCTACGAGATCCTCCCTCGAGAATGAAATGCAAACAATTGGTGCGATATGTGACAACCAGATGATGTGCTTACTGGAATAGACCAAAATCGAAGCGTCTTATCACCCGAAATACGCAAAATCTTAGAGCAACTTTTAGGAACGCACATGCGAACAAAACCTTTTGAGATTTCAACAAATAAAATATAATGTAAATGGCTAATAACATATGCATTTAACGCAATTATAGAATCGCCTCATTGCTAAAGATAACAATACAAAAGTAGTGAAATTCTAACTTGCTAACTTCAAAGTAATATTTTCTAAATAACATCTAAATTAAAATATCTATTAATAATACAAATAATTTATCAAAGCATCCACAACAACTTACTGTAGGAAGCAAGGATCCTGGATTGATGTGAAACGATCCTTCATGTCCTGACGACCTGTATTCTGTCAGAAGCTGCACCTTAACCTCGCTGTCTGCGTGACTGTCACTTTGGCTGTCTGTCGGAGGAAGGTGGAGAGGAGAGGCTGGTGAGGGGCATGCTTGGTATGTTGTAACAATGTTGTGGCGAGGTGGTATGTGATCCAATTGGGAGGAATAGGAGATGGGCTGAATATGTACGTGTGCAAAGCCGCGAATTGCTCCATATATATGTAGAACCCCCAGTACATACATTACACACACAAACATCTTGGTTGTATCCTGGGGTTATGTGTGAGTGTGCTACAGGTAAATATGTAAATATATGTAGTAGATATAATAGAAGAAATTAGCCCGAAAATATGTTCATTAAACAATCAACAGTTAGAAAGGCGGGGTCCAAAATCTGACAGCTCGTTTCTGCAGACACAAGCAGTTAATACAAATAGTAAATATAATACATTCACACACACATAAAGCATCTTGTTCTCAAATCCAATCTCCTTGTCCTCATATCCCTACTTGTATGATACATACAATTCGTGTATGATACCCTTCGTATCATGCACCTCATATCACCTACGAGGACTAAATATTGTCATACTGTCATACCTCTTCACCTTAGCAATAATTATAATTGTTATTACCTCAAGGTAATAATCTCAAAGTTACAATATCCAACCTTCCAAGAGCCTCTGGATTCCGTTTCCGTCTGGCGGTCATTAATTACACCCTGCAATTGATTGTTTCCTCGACTCTTGAGTTCGGGAAGCAGATGTAGTCTTCCTTCCTAATGCTTGTGTTTACAAGATCTTGGTACATTTGTCGTGGAGGAGAGAGTGGAAGCTTTTAGATTTTTTTTTCTTGTTTTTTTAACGCGCGTGTTCAATAAATCTTGCTGCTGCTTTCACGTTTTAAGTGAGAGAAGGTTAAACCAAGAGGTTAAAAATGTGAGGGAGGTAGAGAGAGAGGACGCAAAGGTGGAGTACGAAGGGTAGAGGGAGACAGAGAGAGACAGAGAGAAACAGAGAGAGAGAGACAGAGAGAGAAAGAGGCTTAACGATAGGAGGGTCCGGGGGATTGGGTATGGGAATAGAGGCAGAGAGAAAGTCGAATACAACAAAAAATGGAAAAAGACAAAACTGTTGAAGAATGTGTGAGAGAGAGACACAATGCGACAGAAGCGTCACGAGTTGGACCGACAGGGTGATGAAATATGCAAAGACTTAAGAAGCGTTCCACTGAAGAGAGAGAGATACTGGCACTCGAGCCGTGATTCATCACTCCCTCGTATTGGAAAGATTTATGCACTCAAGCCCCAAAAGATGAGGAGGAGGAGCAGGAGCTATCTAAGAGATTGAGTGGTTGGAACGACCGTTACTGTTTTAAACAAAAGAGTCGTCAGGTAGGCATGGATAAATATCACAGTGAATTGCTTTTGTGATAGTTTTTTCTGGTTCTGAAGAGTACTACCATAATCCCTTTTAAATATCGCTCAGGTAAACTGGATGGCAGCAGCACGCTGCCATCCAGCGTGAAGTAAAGCTGATGGAATGTTCCATAAAAAAGTAGTCCTTTATAACATGAATTTAAATACAGCTCGTAATAGCTACCGAAGCCGTTGGAACACTTCGTGTTCACAGTGTGAGTACAGGAGAACAATATTCTTTTAGTGTACTGTAATTCTTATCCCTCTGTGAATTATATATAGAATGAAGTTTATTGATCAGTGGACTTCCGCAGATAACATAGAAACCTGGACATTGAGCTTATCGCCGCTATGGACGGGTAGAGTCTATGACATGAGCAAACTTTTTCTACTCTACGTTTTCACTAATTTTTAAGTAAACAAAACATTACCCGACCCAACCCGAACCGACTGAACCCACCCTAACCTATCCCATCCTAACCTAACCCATCCTAACTTATTAAAAAGGATAAAGTTTGTATTTTAAATATAATATGCAGAGGTATATGGCGTCACTATGACCTCATAATTGTATTCTGGCTCAAGTTAAAGAGTATACTGGTCTGGAGAACACCACAGCTTGGTTACAGCTTTCCGCTGCCCTCCGACCGCCATAAGAAGCTTAGTTTTATAACGTCAACACTCTTGCGAAGGCATGATGGAAAGTTTTCTATATTTGGTCTCGCTCCAGCAGACCTCCGAAATAAGCGTTCAGTGTACTGGCGTTGACCACCCGCTGCTGCAATCTTGCAGTGATGTAAAGGCAGTCCGTCAACCTGTATTGCAGACCAAGTCAACCTGACCGTGGGGACAGTTGGAGCTAATGGTTGGCACTCTGTCGCTGATGGCTGGAAACTGAATGCAGGATAGAGGATAGATGGCCCTGGGATAAGAGCCAACGTACGAAAATGGCTCGTCTCTTTATACCTTCTTTGGGTGGGCTGCGATTTGTTGCGTCAAGAGCAAATTAGCTTTCGTCTATAAGAAAAGAAACTTAAACAAAGGGAACAAAATTAAAGGCAAACAAAGAGAGAGGGAGAAATTGCAAGTTGAATCTCATTTTCTCTTACCTCCCATTGACACTAATTTTTGCACTCTAGCTTCTGCCTGTTTTTCTATTTTCTTGTGTAAGTATATGCATTTTATTCCTCTTTCTACCATTTAGTGTATTTTTATTATATCTCCCATTTTTTCCTATATACTCACCGCTTTTGATGAGAATAATATCAGGACCCTGCTGCTGCTGCGCCTGCTGCTGCACCTGCTGCTGAACGAATCCCCCATCGTCCCCAGGTCTTGGCACAGTTGCGGAGGAAGCCTTGTCGTAGACGATCTTAGTATGGCTATGGGTGTGAGATGCGCGCGCACGGACCACCACCACCACCAGCACTGCCGAGCACACCACCAAAGAGGTCACCACGCCCACCACAACGCCCACAATGGTCGCCAAACTCACCAGAGGGATCGAATTCGACTCAGCAGCCGCTGCGCTAGTCTGCTTCTCGGCAACGTCAATCGGGGTGAAATACACCAGGACAGTGGGCAAGGCCGGCCCTTGGGCGTTAGACGCCATCACCACCAAATGGTACTCGGTCCCTGGAGCCAAGCCAGTCACTGTGAAGTGGGGTTCCGGTTGGTCTTTCAGGGACGCCAGCAGGTTTCCAGCGGCTGGGACACCCGGAGGTGCCACGGAAGAACCCTGTGGGGCGTGGCGGACCTCCAGGGTGAAGCTTTGTGCGAGTCCCCCACTCCAGCCGGCCTGGCACGACACCACGACCTCCCCAGCGGCACTGCCGTTGTGCCAGGCACTGCAGTTGTGGACCGGTTCTGGCACTCCTGCAAAGAAAGAGGGTGATACACATTATCACAATGTATTAACATAATATATAGATATGAGGAGGAACAGAATATGGGGGGATAAGGTACTGAATCGTAAGATATATATATAATATATATTTTTAAATGACGTACATAATGGACATATATATAGCTTTTTATAGGCAAATCGAGAAAAAAAATGATGATGAAAACAGTAATATAGAGCTCTTGTAGACTTACCTAGATATACAAATCGTAAAATAGAGCTAAATGAAAAATAAGAATCTACAGGATTTATGTAGCAGACAAAAGTCTGGAATTGGAAGCGCATAACAGCGCCAGCGATCTACATGTGGATGCCCAACACGACAAAACAGCACTAACCTGCCGGAACGACATGGAACACACACGGTTGGCGTTGCAGGTCGATCTGATTTCGACCCCAGCAGAGCAGTGAGCCGAAGTCGTGGTGGGTTTGCGGCGTGTACACCACCAGGCTGCGGCTGCGGCCGGTGTAGACGCGGTCCTGCGGAAGCTCCACAAATTCGCTCGAAGTGTTGAAAGCCCAGCGAAAGCTCGTGGCTTCTGGGTACGCTTCTACCCGGCAAGTCACGTTCACTGGCTGGTGTCGACCCCCGCCGTACACCCATTTCTGCCCGGTGGAGCACACTGGCGAGACTGTTCGAACCGTAAATATGATAATGTTGGTGTGGATTAGTGTCGTCTATGGTCGTGTACCGGTGTCGTCTATGGTCATGTACCAGTGTCGTCTATGGTCGTGTACCGGGGGTCGTCTATGGTCATGTACCAGTGTCGTCTATGGTCGTGTACCGGAGTCGTCTATGGTCGTGTACCGGTGTCGTCTATGGTCGTATACCGGGGTCGTCTATGGTCATGTACCTGGGTCGTCTATGGTCGTGTACCGGGGTCGTCTATGGTCATGTACCGGTGTCGTCTATGGTCATGTACTGGTGTCGTCTTTGGTGGTGTCGTCGACCTCGTCCATGGTCGCAAATGGTTTGCATCTATTAAACTAAAAATTATCAATTAACCCTGTACATCTGTTGACACTGTAAAGAAAGCGTTTTAAACCCGCAAAATAAGAGTGTAATAATCCTTACTTTCCATATTTTAAAGTTTGCTACACTTTAAGACAAAATACAAGGAAAGTGTGCGCTAGTGAAGACACTATCGCGTTCTAAGCATTTATCGCTCAAGGTCCTGTCCGAGATGCAAGATAATGGCTCGAGGGAAAGAAAATGTTACAAGCTCGCAATATTTTGAACAGTGCACGACCACTTAACTCCTCAAGGACCCTTTAACTCGCAACACCTGACACAGATGCCTGGGTCTATTCTCCTCCTGGGAAGATTCTTATGGGAAGTTAAAGCTTCACACCATACAGAGAAAACATTCTTAAGCTGCCCAGAAAACTTACATCAAAGTAATTTAAACACAAAAATCTAAGCTAAAATTTATTTTAAAGTAATGTACAATGAGTTATAAGTACGAATATTTTAAATGGGAAAAAATTGTTTCAACAAAACACGCAAATACGAAGAAAAACAAGATGCAAATAGAATTTCTGAGTGTGCTTTCAAGAGGTTCAGGCCGGGTGCCAGGCTCCACAACTGTCCACCAGAAAGAGAAAGAGAGAAGTGAGAGAGTGAGAGTGAGAGAGAGAAATGAAAGAGTGAGAGAGAGAGAGAAGTTAGAGAGTGTATGAGAGAGAGAGAGAGAAGTTAGAGAGTGTGTGTGAGAGAGAGAAGTGACAGTGTGAGAGAGATAACGAGAAAACACTTCTGTTAATTATTCACACGAGCTACAACACATGTACAGCAACATAAACAAATCAACCACGTCCTACAGCAACATAAACAAATCAACCACGTCCTACAGCAACATAAACAAATCAACACGTCCTACAGCAACATAAACATATCAACCACGTCCTACAACTGCAGTGGCTCTAGCTGGCTCACCCCTCACGAGACCCAACTGACTAACTGCAGCTTTTCCAACAAAGAAGGGGAAAAAAGTGCTCTCCAACCCTCAGAACAAATCCAGGAGACACTCGGCACAAAACACAATTTATTTTTTCAAGACAAATTAAATAGCGAGCCGGAAAAAATATAGACTGCAAACACTATTCGCAACGGAATAGATGTTACCTGCAGTAGCATCCATCTCTCTCTCTCTCTCTCTCTCTCTCTCTCTCTCTCTCTCTCTCTCTCTCTCTCTCTCTCTCTCTCTCTCTCTCTCTCTCTCTCTCTTCTCCCTCTCGCTCTCTTTCTCTCAGAATTAGTAGCAGCTACTGCTCTTACTACTACCACCACTGTTCTCATTAGTACTGCACCGGATTTCATCCAAAATATATCACCACTCAAATTGCAAGCTAAATGTTTTGTCTATAAATGCAAAATGGGTAATCTTATTAACGGTTCAAGATAATAACCATCCAGAACTGTAACGATTCACACAAGCAGTTGCCAATATTTCTCTGTTAATACTGCAAGTGTAAGTAGTCGTAAGATTAGAAATAGTTCTACTCACACTTGACGTTAAGCTGGAGAGCGTTAGAGGTGGCTGTGCCATGGACGTTGACGGCTCTGCAGGTGTAGAGCCCTGTGGAGTGCCTCCCGACTTTCTGTAGCACTAGGCTCTGGTTGATCTGGATCACTCCTGCCGTTACATTTTGCTGCAGCTCCACACCCTAAAAACCCCAGCGAGAGCGAGAGAGAGAGAGGGAGAATTATCGGGGAATAGTCCCAAGCCATTATGACTATATAGCACTGGGAAGGGGTCAGAATAAGGACTTGGAAAGGGACATGGGGAAATGAATGGTGCCTAACTACTTGGTGGATGGTTGGAGATTGAACGCCGATCTGCATGAAGCAAGACCGTCGCTCTACCGTCCAGCCCAATTGGTTGGGCAAACGAACCAATCGTACCGGACGAACCATCTGTTTAGAACTTTGCTTTGATGGTTCATTCTGCAGCTGTTACTGAATAACTTGTCTAGAACACAGCTGTTGATTGTGATGGAATTAGCAGCGAACCATCTGTTTAGAGCATAGTCATTGGTGGTAGTTGTACCACAGGCAGTGAATTGCCTATTTAGGGCTGTGTCATTAGCAACTGTTTATGTGGAATTATCAAGGAACCGCATATCTAACGCTCCTATTGATTGACGTTGACAATGCATCACTCTGTAAACTCCTGTTTTTGATGAATTATTGCCTATTGTAGTTTTATTAATCCTGCTCACAAAATCATTCCTTTGAATTCGAATGATCCCTTTTAGCCTTGCAATTAGCGCTGTTTGCCGGTTACCCAATAATTGCGCTAAATCTGTTATAACCCACTGCTACATGCTGTACTTCTATCTGTAATCATGGATAACCTTTCATGACAAATAATAATCTGTTAATAATCTGGAATAATAACTATCTCTGTAGATATCAGCAACTACCTTAATTATCAGCGGTATCTGTAATTACAAGTAGTGTTTTTGTAATTACAAGCTCTATACTCAATAATTACACTCGGTATCTCAATAACTACACAAAGTATTTCAATAATAATAAGTAGAATTTCTGCAGTTTATCCAAGACTAAAATTCTTGGAAGCCTTCAACATTAGCATACTAAAGCTAGATCGTATCGTCTATCCCAGGAACCAAGTGATCTAAGTTTAACGCTAATCCCTACGCCCCATTTAACGCCCTCCAGTAAATCTCCACCGGTAATCCCTGCTCAACAGTGGCATGTACCAGTTTGGCGTTCAGAATTCACAATGATACAGTCTTGTAATTTCTCGGTTATGTTACAAAAAATATTATAATTGGAACTGTATATCTAATTGAATTTTTACAGCAAAATAGAGTAATATGATTATAACTTAATGTTTGCCATTTCTAATTAAGTAACATTGTATAAATATATACATTTGCCACTGTACTCTCTATCGTTGTATCTCTATGTCCATTTATCAATTAATCCTTTACACCATTGTGTTATTGTATTCATGTAGTTCTGTACTCATGGACAGCAGACCACCTTTAATTTAATATAACCTGAGTATAATGTCTCCAGCTCCGGCACACTCCTGACCTGATAATCAATACCTGAGCAGGTTGCAGGGACGTACACCTGTACATTAGCAGGTACAGGTATGTTCTGTGACTCCCTCATTCCTTTCCTCCCCCTCAGAAAGCGGTGAGCTGCTTAAGATAAGAGTCTCTTGGGGTGGTGAATGTTAGGGTGGGGTTGTGGCAGTTAAGATAGGGTTGAAGAGGGGAAGTAAGAGCATTTGTTGGGTTGTGGTTTATTGGAAGTTATGAGGTGTGCAGGCTGTATGTTGAGATGATTTGTTGAACTCCACATTTAATGCATTGGTAAAATCAGTGGAAACCATTATAAGGATTCGAAACCGCGCATTGGGTACTCCAAGGTATTCCCTCCACTAATCAACTCTGCCACGACATGCTGCAATTGGCAGTACTAAGTGTCCAGGTTCGAATCCTCTTCGTGTTTTTTTTAATAATTTTCACATTGATACATTTCGTTACTGTGATATATTTGTGCATTTGTATTTGTGTTTCCATATAATTTACGTCATCTATTTCTATTTTTCTTAACTTTGATTAATTTGTTCTAACGCAAATATTGATTACGTCCACCAAGATGATTACGTCCCCCCCAAGATCATTTACCTCGTGATCATGTCTCCTGGTATTATTGATCGACTACTCCCAAAAAAAGTTAAGATAAAAAGTATATGAGTGAAATACATATTTTAAATGAAAACTGAAAAAGGACATTTTTGCACCAGGAGGCACGAAAAGGTGGAGTGACACTGCAGTGTGTAATATTACTGTTCTGGTCCTCCTCTTTTCCACAGAGATGCAGCCTCCCCCCTCCATTAATCTCAGAGTGTACTGGTCAGCACAGTTAACTATTTAACGGAATCTTCTTTGATCTGTGCTCTGTAAATTGCTACCTGATTGCATTATTTGGGTAACGTCATTGACTATTCAAGATTATAACCATTCTGAGCTTCGATGCCTTGGGGGAAACGGGGATGTAATACAGATTGGCAGACAAAGAGAGACTTAGAGATACGAGGTGTTTCAGTGAATAATGAAATAAAGTGATAGAAGCTTAAAGTGTTGATCTGTATAGAGACAGGGTTAGGAAATAATCGTCTTGTCATGGCCACGAATCGAACTCGTACCCAGTAGAGTGCGAGTCGAGATGGTTCCTTGATTAAAGGTCAAGAAATCATCTCATTTGTGCTTCCTTTCCACATTTATCTCAGGAAATTTACTGAAATGTCCTCTAGTCTCTTTTCAGTATATTCTGATATATAGTACTTGTGCATTTCTATGGTTTAAAAGGCTCGTGTTTTGTATTGTGGTTGTATTATACCAGTATGCCTAGAATACATCGTGAGGTATACCAGCATGTGTAGCATATTACTATTACTACTAATACAACTACTACTAGTACTACAACAAATACCATTGGACTTACATTCAGGAACCACTGGACCTTGAAGACGTTCGGATTGGCTTCGATGTCACATTCGAAGTAAACATCGTCTCCTTCCTTAATGCTCGATATGTTTAGGTTCTGGCCAGGACGAAGGCGTAGGCGTGGCGAGTCTGAGAAAAGAGAGAGTATCAGAATCCCCACTACGAGCACACCCCCACATAGACACCCTGGCTGGCTTACATCTGAACTGCCTTCAGAAACCTGTGAAAAGAATCCTTCAGAACATTGAATAACACATATGTAAGGCCAATCCTGGAGTATGGGGGCTCCAGCCTGAAGGCTGAACCTTGTCAAGCACATGATGAAGCTGTATGGCGTGCCACTAGGCTAGTCCCAGAACTAAGAGGCATGAGTTACAAGGAAAGGCTGCGTGAACTGCACCTCACGTCGTTGGAAGACAGAAGAACTCGCTGAGCTCTTCTTGGATCCCGTTGTTAAGAGCTAGGAGCTGGATCCGGCGAGTACAAATAGTAAACACATATCCTGTACACCTCATACACATCCCCCTAACACACTCACACAACCGCACACATGCTCACTCCCCTCAGCCACCAGGGGCCGGTGGCTGAGGGGACAGCACTCTATACAAGTAATCATGTGGTCCGGGGTTCGATTCCTGGCGCCAGCGTGAAACAATGAGTAGAGTTACTTTCACCCTGATACCCCTGTTACCTAGCAGTAAATAGGTACCTGGGAGTTAGAAAGCTGTTTCGGACTGCTTCCTGTGTGTGTGGGGGGGGGGATATTAGTAGTTACAGTTGAGAGGCGGACCGAGCGAGCAGAGCTCATCCCCAGCAAGCACAACTAGGTGAATACACCCGTACATTCACATACTCCTACACATACACATCTCTACATATACACACCACAGTGATGTGGTGGACTCCATACACAGCTTCAAGTGTAGATATGATAGAGCCCAGTAGGCTCAGGAATTTGTACATTAGTTGATTGACAGTTGAGAGGCGGGACCAAAGAACCAGAGCTCAACCCCCGCAAGCACAACTAAGTAAGTACACCCTATATTCACCGCCATACATTCACCCCTCCCCCCTCCCCCCGCACATACACCTTCCACAAACACCTCTCCTAAACATACACACAAACAAAACACCCTCCACACACTTCAGACTGCCATACATTACACCTCCCGAAACTCATAACACTACAAACACATTCAACACCCACACACACACTCCACTTGAAATAAACACACACCACAAAAACACGACAGTACAAACCCACACACACACACACCATACTGCAAAGAACCACACTACACATACACACACCAAGCCCACACTCCACACATAACTCGAAACAGATCCACACAAAAACGAAGGGGAAGACAGAGAAGCTACCCAAATGCTTCCTACGAAGACAGACATTGCAACTGACAGAATACGAAAGACCTAATCAGTACCCAAAGAAAAGGACAAGAAACACACATTGACCAAGACTTAAAAGAGAAAGCACAGATCAATACAAAGAAGAGAAATCAGAGATCAAAACAAAGAAGAGAAAGCACAGATCAATACAAAGAAGAGAAAGCACAGATCAAGACTCACATGCGCTAAAAATCAGAAGGGAGAGACAATAGTTGACTCACAGTAGACGAGTAGTTTTCGGGCGTCTTCCAAAGCCGTACCATCAAGGAGCGGATTATCAGCCCGGCAGGCGATGACGGCTCCGTTGGTAGCTCTGGCGGGCGCCAGGTGTAGGGTTGACCGGCTCACGTTACCCTCAGCCAGCACCTGATAACATACTAGGTTACTCAACACATTTATGGACACCACTGTTGGCTAAATTGGTCAGGTGGTTACTTGTGTTGTGTGTGTATGTGGTCTTGAGAGAGAGGAGAGAGAAAGGAGAGAGAGAGAGAGAGGAAGATAGAGGAAGAGAGAGATGTCCTCACTCACACAGATATACTACCTCTGATGTTCTTACAAACTCGAACTTTTGCCCTTAAACTCCGGTTTTCCTGTTATGGATTAGTTAATAATTCAATAACTCTCTTCCTGGATTTACATTATCATCGATTAACAGAATTTAATATTACAACATTCCCTACTAGACCTTGACATTCATTTGCAACACTATTGCATTAATTATTCATATTGATAAACTTTCATCCTTTACGTCATCAACTTCCATTGATTTACTCTCGTTATACGACCCAATCATTCTGAACACTGTGGGTTGTATAAATGCTCTGGAAAAAAATATTTGCTCGCCAACCTTGACTTATCAAACTGATTTGAACCTTGAACGTGTTGATAAACACTGACTTGGTCAACGTTTGACCCAGGATGTTGCAAGTTGGTCGAGTAGATACAACAATGACTTACACGACGCCTGAAGTCGTTCCCAAGAAGTTATGTTCAGTTACTTGTTTTCCACCGTTTAGTTATGCAAAGGCCTGATAATCTTTTCAATATATAAAGATGATTATACTATTTTTTTTAATAAACAGCTGGAATTGAGTGGAATACTGATGCAACAGTCAGAAGTATATGAAACAATGCTGCTCATAACCTACATGAAATCAGATAACTTAATTACAAATTGAAATTCTGTAACAAAATCTGTCTTCCATGTTAACAGATTAAATAATTTGAAATATATATATTTCAGGGTAGACATACATTAATGCCACACCAGCTGTTATTTTCACTCTAATATCATTCAATCTTACGGTGCTTTCAAAACAATTACTGTGGTACAGGTAGCCTCAGCACAAACAATGCTCTTCCAACGTCCTTATAATCATTGAAAACTTGTATATTGAGACTAATTTGGTTTGCATAGCAAGAAAACTGTTATTGCGCTGTTTAGTTGAGTAAACACGGAAATTATTATTATTGTTCTCCCGGCAATAGTTACAATTATACTTTTCCAAGTGTTTGGACTTCCTGTTAATTGTAAGTGCGTAAATATATTGTATTAGCAATTAAGATGTGTTTGGAGGAGGGACGTACCAGGTTCCCCAAGAAATTATTTATACTAAGATAATTACCAAGAAAAAGTGCGCAACCAGTACCTCTATACAGCCCTTGGATGGGATACGAGGGCAAAAAGCTGAGATAAGAAGACGGAGTGAGTGAACAGCTACATGAACCATCGGGGGATCGAGCGTCGACCCTGTAAGTAGCACCGTTGCTGTACAGACCAGCCCAAGTGGATGGATATCACAAGATGATGATGTTTGCTTTTCTCGTGAGTAGTCGTCTTAAAATTCTTGCAAACTCGCGATTCTTGCGCCTTACAGCAGGTCTCCTTCACTCCTAAGGATATTTACCTTGTTAGGTATTCAAGACAGCTTCTACGCCCTGAGTGATAACGTTTGCAGCTTCAAACGGCAGATCGAGTTCATATTTACATTCCTTTACAAACAAATCTTGTTAAGAGTGAGAAAAAAAAGTACGACAAAATTTCGATTTGCCCAATATATTTTTATGTATTAGCATTTTTCAGATATATTTAGATTCCAGTAAAGCATTGGACATGGGAAAATCTTTAAAGCGGGATAGGGATCGAACCTGTTTCTTGCTTCACCCCCAAACGCGTGCACTAACCTATGGATATGCTAAAAGTTCATCAACCTGTACCATACACATAGATGATTAGAAAGCATCAGTGAGGCCAAATCGATTCAGATTACTATATCCTTACAATGCAGGATACATCCCAACCAGTGAAAACTTGACCATTCTGGAGCACTTAAGAATGATTCTGTTGAGATGAAAAACCTATTCAATCACAAAGTTTCGTTTATCTCTCAGAAGCCACGTTTCCGCTCAATGGAATTTACGTCATGATAATTGCTTTAGACGCCCTTCCGTTTACTTCTCTGTGCGTTGGACCATCTTGCATAAAGCAGCGGTAAAAAAAACGAAAAAATGACACGATGCGTTTGTTAACAGTGGGATTGCTAAAAGCGAGGATCGTTGAATGATGTGACCGTTAATAGCGCCATTCGTTAATAGCCACATTTATTATTAGCCCCGTTCGTTATTGGCATCCTTTATTATTAGCGCCTTTCGTTAAAAGCGCCGTTTCTACACGCAGGAATTTAGGAGAAAAGTTTTGGAATTACAGCTGTGAACAAGAAAGAGACCAATCATTGTCTAAATTGTTTTTCTTTTGAGCTCTCGTTGTCAGGTTACCCGTCTATTTATTTACTTTCTTTTGTGTATATTCGTCTCAATATTTATATAAATTTTTCTGTTAATCTAATATACATCTGCAACTGATGATCTCAAAACACTGGTCATAGAGAAGCAGAAACCCACAGTTAAATGGGACATTTAGCTCCTTTCTCATTTCACTGGTTTTCGCTCGCACACACTCACACATGCACACATGTAAATAGGTATATATATATATGTATATCTCAGGAAGTTCAAACAAATATTTAATGTAACATTAATTACCGTGTAAGCTCAAAAAGAAAACATTGGCTTATTCCTTCTTTCTTTGTTTTAGTTGATATCGAAAGAGACTCTAATTTAAAAACTTTAGATTGCCTTTCTGAAATCTAGGATTGGAGACTCTCTCTCTCTCTCTCTCTCTCTCTCTCTCTCTCTCTCTCTCTCTCTCTCTCTCTCTCTCTCTCTCTCTCTCTCTCTCTCTCTCTCTCTCTCTCTGAAAAGGTTACTTATATTGAGAGATCCGGGCACAAAGAATCAACGGAAATAGTAAATAACATTTTTTGGATCTAATGTCTATAGTTGAAAACCAGGTTAGCACCTGAATACACCCAGAACACAAAAACTATGACAGATGACATTGATTTTAAACACAAAGCAATAATAGGATGACACAATTGGACTAGGAACGTTGAAGAACTTGCCCCTTATGTGGCAACAGTTGGAGAGGGACTCTGACTGAGAAGGACTTGAGGGTCGAGTGCTCAGGACTGGGCGAATGCTGAAGAAAACTTTTTCGAAATCAATTTTATACATTTCAGCGTCAATGAATATAAGAATAACTGGAAAGGGCAAATTAATTAAGAGAATAATAACAAAAAATTCGAATGGTGAAAAAGAGAACTAAATATCTGATTGAAAAGATGGAATATTAAAATGAGAGTGAAAGATGAGCGAAAATAGGAGTGGTAAATGGGAAGAACAACAAAAGATAAATGAAGAGGAGGAAGAAAAGAAGCATAAATTTTCACAGGAATGGAAAATTATTAAAAAAAATTGAGAGGATTAACGATTTGTAGCTCAATACTGATGGATATTGTAGATGGCGATGAGGGATATAAATAGTAGATTAGGCTGAGACGGATATAATTGATGACACTCGGATTGCAGTTGAAGACGTGATGGAGATTGATAACTCTGGGATGGGATAGTAGATGAGAATAGGATGAGAAATGAGTAGTAGTCGGCTCTCCCTTCCTACCCTCGATAACCGCTTCCGGGAGAAATGAACAGAAAATATATATAACATACACATTACTGATAAACCTTGGGCGGAAATCTCTACAGAGAAGGAGATCCTTTCTCAGATAAGGTATGGAGATGAAGTGTGCCAGAACCTTTCTGCGCATGCCTCTTCTGGGATAGTTGGTCCAGTGTGAGCTCCTGGAGGATTTAGTTCAGTGTGTGGTTCCTGGAGGGTTTAGTCCAATGTAGAGGGAGGGTTTAGTCCAATGTGAAGCTTGTGGAGGATTTAGTTTAGTGTGTGTAGCTTCTGTTGGATATAGTCTAGTGTGCAGCTTCAGAAGGACATAGTCCAGTGTGTGGTTCCTAGAGGGTTTAGTCCAATGTAGAGCTCTTGTAGTGTTTAGTTTACTGTGAGGCTTGTGAAGGATTTAGTCCAGTGTGTAGCTCCTGGAGGAAGTGGTAAAGGCGGGAACGAAATAAAGATCAAGAGGAAGAAGCAAAACGAGAAATAAAAGAAAACCCAGTTGAAACAGGATGCCAAAGGAAAAAAGAGGAAGTTAAAATCGCAAATTTATGAATTGAAGTAAACTTGTTGACAAACTCGGAGAGAAAAATTAAATAAGATTTAAACAGAATAAAGGACGAGAGAAAGGAACAGCGAGAAGAATGAGGCAAATAGTTAAAGTCGGAGAAAGGAGAAAAGATAACCATGGTAGTTGATTATGAAAAGTGGAGATACAGGGCACAGGCAAGATTGACAGTTGTAAAGAGAAGAAGATCAATGAAACTGACGGGCGAAGACAGGCGGACAGTCACTGACAGACATATAAATTGACATACACACAGACAAAGAGAAAGACAGACGGACAGAGACAACCGAGAGGATCAAAGGAAAGGAGGAGGCAAAGAAAACAGTTTGATAGTCTTTGTTCCTTTTGAACGCAGACGAGGAAGGTACTGTCATTGTCTCATTCAGGTGTGTGGGATGGGGGAAGGGGAAATTGCAGGTGTGTGGGAGGAGTACAGAAAGTGTGTATTTGGGTTTGGTCGTACCAGGTGAGTGTGAGGGGGGAGGGGGGAGGGAGGGAGCGGTACATACCAGCTATGTGGAGGCATGCCAGGTGTGTGGGCGGAGTTGCAGGTGTGTGTGTGTGGAGGAAGGGGATGTCATAATAGCTGTTTGAGGGAGGAGTACAGAAAGTGTGTGTGTGGGGGGTGATGGGGGGTGGTCATACCAGGTATGTGTAGATACATAAGTAGTAATATATATATATATATGTATATATATATATATATATATTATATATCTGTATATATATATATAATCAGATATCTGCGTACACGAGTTGTGTATACTAAATATCTGGGCATATTAAGTATATTTCTTATGTGTACCTTGTCTGTATACCGGAAGCAGTGGGAATCCTGGTTAGAAAATACACCAAATGTGTATATGCGTCTGTATTACAAATGTGTGAATAAAGTTTTTACTCACCTCGCCCCCACCAAACTCACCAAGGTGTGTTTGTGTGGGCTGAGCTTTGGCTCTTTGGTCCCGCCTTTCAATTGTATATCAACAGTGTGTATGTTTGTGTGTGCGTGTGTGTGTAAATCGACCAGCAGACAGTTCGACAAAGCTCGTTATCAAAGTGTCGAAATCGAACATATCATTATGGTTGAGTCAATAAGCTTCGCCTAGATTGTGGTAGAATCAGTAACGTTAGGTTGTGTAAGTTTAGAATGGTTTCAACATTCTTTAGCGAACCGTCCAACGTAACGTGTGACTTGTATCCCTGTGAACGTACCTGATCCTTAGTGTCTGTCATCAGTACTCCGTCAATCCACCAAGTGATGACTGCAGGGGGACGAGAACCTCCTGCCTCACACACAAGGGAGTACCGCAACCCTTCAGATAGTGGAGAGTTCTCCCCCAGGATGGTTACTTCCAGCGGCGGGACTGTTATAGAGAGAAAGAGATCTGTGAGAGAACTGTGACTTGGGAGTGAATGAGAGGATAAGGGACAAGAATAATAATAGGGAAATCTATATATGTATTCATTCTTTTGATGGAGATTTAAGTAGCATTTCACGTTTCTATGTAACCGAAGAGAACACGTAGGAGAGACAAACAGAAGAACCACGGGTCCATAACTTGGTTTTCTGTTGGGAAACTACACTGCATTACTACGTATATTATTGGCTAACATGGCTGTAGCTGGAGATTAGAACGGCAGAGAGGGAGAGAGGGAGAGAGGGAAGGCGAGAGCGGAGAAGAGAGAGAGAGAGGGAGAGAAAGAGTATATTCCAATTTTCTTACAGCTCATCTCCAGTGTGACCGTAGCAGCTAGAGGATTGGTCATGTTTGAGTTATTAGCCCTGCAGGTCAGGACCCGATAGAGATGCTGGCGATTGAGTTCAGGCAGGGTCAAGATGTTCCGGGTGACCTGACCAGTGACCTCCTCTGCTCTGCCGTCCAGCAGTGAGCCCTCATGCGTCCATCTGACCCATGGACGGGGTGATCCTGTGAGACAAAGAGAACAATGCTTTGTGATGAAATTCGGCAGCTTCCCTTTATAATCTTTGCACTAATTAAGGATAACTGGATTTTGTATGAGATAAGCAAGTTACCATAAGATTGAGATAAATCCGTTTGAGTATAAAACCGAACGACGACCTGATGAAAAGGCGTGGCTGTAGCTTTAAAGGCGTAGCTGTAGCTGTAAAAAAACGTAGCTGTAGCGTGCCCCCTGTAGCTTCCTACTTTAATTTGTCCAGGAGGGAAATGCCCCTTTACCGACTAGTCGAAATAAATGTTCATAAAGCTGTACATTTTCTGATTTCATCAAATTTTTATGTCACTCAATCCGCTTACTCTTAAAGTAACTCCACCAGTGGAGACTTGATGCGGAGAAACCTGAGCTGCTCAGAAGGGAAATTAACCCAGCCACATTGTGACATTGTCGGCGTCTCGACGGTATATGTTAATTGCCTTACAACAATAACGAACTCGAAACTCGGAATATATAACCACGCGGCACTCAGTGAATGACCACAAACTGCAGACTAAGTGGCCACACAAGAAGGACTAAACAAGGGCACGATTCTAATCAATCACATAATCTAACTATACAACCATACAACTTGTACAAAAGAACCATACGATTAGTATTGCAAGACAACGACAATCCGGACGCTATACGAGCATGCAATGCGACCATTACAAAACAACAATACGATCCATATATTAAACTACTACATGATCCGGAATATATGACAATTGGAATCTATTCGTAACTGCTTTACTTAAATTCAACTCGGACTGAACGAGTGTTTGACCCAGAAAAAAAAATTTGGTAAAATCCAATGCTGTGTGACCTTACCGTGATGTAAATGTTTAATCAGAGAATTCGACGTTACTGATATTACGATCGTGTTGCTGTAGAGTTATAATTATTAAGGTAAATAGTAATGCAGAGAACTGTGGAAATAATGATTTTCTTTGTATAATTTATATAGAGAGATAGAGACAGACAGGACGGGTGATCTGAACTTCAAATATTTTTTGTACTTACTCACAAGATGCATGACGGCACCCAGGAAGCCTCTATCCTAAAATACACGTCCTCTTACGTCATCTCAAAATTGAGGGTATATGATAATCTCCAGAAGTTAATATCCATGAAAGCACTCGACCTTTACTAGAATGACTGCTCGTGGGACCAATAAACGATGCGAGGTAAACTCAGAGGGTAAATGTTAACAAGGCAATAAAGGTGATGCCACCTGGATTTATATGGTGGTGCGCGAATTTTAGTGAATTAGAGAGCGGAAGAGGTTGTATCTCTGCAGAGGTCGACTCTGCACCAATTCTACTTGGCTGTCAATGGCACCAAATGCTAATGTTACTTACTGATTCTCGGCAATGGGGATTACTGCTTCATCTCTGGTCCTTCACTACAGGCTACCACTCGATTGCTCCATTGATCGAGCTAGAGTATATGAACAACACTACACATGGCACATCACTGCTTATCAGTAAAATAGCCGATCACACATGATCAGGACTGCGCGTCGGGTGTAACTATTATAGCTCCAGGCTTGTAGCTCCAGTCGACAGTTCTTTTCCACCAGTCTTAATGAGTTTCATCACAGCCTGGTTATGGAGAAGTGGCCCCCAGACCGTGATGCCAGGACGTCTCGACCTGTCACACAGTTCGACCCTGACACGTCACTGAATCTCAGAAAGTGCAGTTATATCTTCTTCTTGAAGACATTGGCTTGGTCGCCCATACACAGCTTACTTGTATAACGCTCTTTTTTCGTTAAATAAGGGGACGCCTCACAACTAACATCCGTACTCCATGAGCGCTGACACGAAAATGAAGACTCCAGCCACAATAAGGAGCCCTCACAGTGTCTCCTCACGTGGCGTGAATATGTAGTCACGTGAATATGAGTCAAGCCCTGAATGGTTGGCCAATGCAAACTCTGACCAATGTCATGGCCTGCTGACATCAGGGACCCCCAGAGGTCCCAGATGTCAGCAGATATTGGTGGGGCGCAGAATCTCAGCAGGTGTGTGGGCAGCAACGCACGCATTAAATGGAAGGAAACACACAAACACACAAACACCCACACTCATCCAAGCACACACACGCACCCATACACCACCACACACACACCCGCACTCCCCCACACAAGAACACACTTGCCCATGTGAAGCACAAAATTCCCCAAAGCATCAATAACTATGACAGGCAGGACACATTTTTCAAGCTTTCTCAAGACTTTTCAATTCCACAATCTAGAGAGATCTTGAGAAATAAATTCTCAAGCATCGACATTTAAAATGGTGTGAGAATTCTGAATGCTCTCAATAAAGATTTTCTCTCTCAGCACTTTATGGCTTCTACGCAAGTGCATAAAACATTTTTCCAAGCAAAAGAAGGGGCTTGAATGGCAGAGAAGGCAAGCAGTTTGTCGGGTTTTAAAGAGCAGAGTGAGGACTGTATTCTCAACTCTTTGGCATTTTGTATTTTTATACGATTTAAACATAATTGTGCTGGAACATAAATTAGTTTCTAAATATATCTGTCGTCCTGGGATTAAAAAACAGGTGGTATGTTGATTTGTTGAACTGTTTGTGCAATATGACGTTATGGGATAGGATAATTCCGCCCTCTCTCTCAGTCTTCCACTTTCACTCTCACACTGTGTTCACTTTCTTTATTACTCATAATTCTCAAGTCACCTCAAACATCAGTTCCTGGCGACAATTACCGTGTAAATCCCGTAATATCTATATTTTTTCTTTAGATGCATGACTGGCCAACGTTCTCTGGTGCCAAATGCTGACGAAAGGATATTATCCGATTCTCGAAAATACAAATAAATCCTCCAGCCATAATTATGTGTTTTCAATTTGCATAATTGTTTTGAGTATTTCAGTTTCGATTAGATGATCATTCGCGTCAATATAATTGTTAGAAATGTGTTATTCTTACTTGCATTACAATCACTGTATATATTAGGACTTAAACTATTGTTGTTTGATTTCATTGTTACTAATGATTTTAATTTTAATCTATTACTTTTGTGTTATTATTACTGAAAATGGTATTCCTAATTCAGTCGATCTGAGGTGCCTACTTCCGTAGACCTGAGGATGCTTACCTCTGTTGACCTGGAGGGTGCCTACCTTCGTATACCTGGTGGTACCCATCTCTTTCGACCTGGGGGACCTACCTCCGGTGACCTGACAGATGAGAACGAGGGAGCCTCCAACAGCGTATGGTCCAATTAATCCGCTAACTTCCAGTCCCGTCTCACTCAGGATGCTCAGTCGACGAGGAGGAACTGTGGATGCACAGATGGAAGAAACACCGTGAATCGTTACTACCTGGCTGGTCACTGTCAACGTTTAGGGAGGGACTTGATTTGAGAATAATAGAGAATTCACGTTCTAAGTCATTCAAGATGGCGCCTGTTTACACAGCATATATGCTCAAGCAACATCATGGAGAACCGGCACAAATACACTCCATCATCACAGTGAACCAGTACCACCACACTCACATCTTCACAGTGAACCAGTACCACCATACTCACATCTTCACAGTGAACCAGTACCACCATACTCACATCTTCACAGTGAACCTGTACCAACAACTCACACATATCTTCACAGTGAACCAGTACCACCACACTCATATATTCACAGTGAACCAGCACCACTACACTCCAGCAAATCTACAAATGCATCCCATTGTTTCGTAAGACACTAGGTGTAGAGTCCTTTTCACTAACAACTGCCCCCGAATATTTTTTTCCAACACCTCTTGTGTGTGTGTGTGTGTGTGCTGTTTTCACTCCACTTCCTCGTTTAATCACTCCTCGCCTCATTTCTCTTTTTTCTTAAATTTCATTCGAATGTTTTCCTTTCTACTCTTTCGTCATCCACTCTTTCAAACCTCTGCCATGTCGATACATTAGCGTCAATCTTGTGATTTAAAGATTATTGCGCTCTGTATTATTTCTTATTCTTTATATTTATAGATTCACACAAAGACTGTTAGTACTGCACGTCAGTACAAGAGAAAAAAAAAACGCATCTCTCTCTCTCTCTCCCCTTTCTCATTCTTTTTCCTACTCTCTTGCCTTACCGCTAAGTGAGGAAACATGTCACCTATCCAGTTCACTTCACAGCCCTGCCAACAGCAATAATTATTTATCAATGTTCGGCAAGTTTCTGGGGTTTGTGTTTGACACTTTGACATACTCAGGCAGTTGTCCAGATATTTGAGGGGAAAAAGGTTCCGTATGGGATATCTTGGTGTGGTGCGTGTCACGGGAGAAGCAAGACATTGAGGAGATACACAAATATAGTTTTTGGACAAATAAGTGGATAGATAAATCAGTTGGTTGAGACGTAGAAAGATGAATTGATTTCGCTTTTGGATGATTGAATCATTTTGAGTGATAGATGGGCTCTCTCTCTCTCTCTCTCTCTCTCTCTCTCTCTCTCTCTCTCTCTCTCTCTCTCTCTCTCTCTCTCTCTCTCTCTCTCTCTCTCTCTCTCTCTCCCCACTAACTTACCTACCACCAAGAGCTTGACTCTCAGATTCCTGGTGGGAGATGACCTGAAGTCGACCCTACAGCGATAGTGGCCGTGGTCAGAAGCGTCCACATCGTCGATTACCAGACCAGACGGGCTCGAGACGAGGTCGAAGTGCGCTCGATCTCCCAGCTCGGTCCAGTGGATGGATCTGCCCAGGGAATTCATGCGCGCGTCGATGCTGCAACGAATTTAAGAGTATATATGTATAACACTTAGTCAACGCAACTGTCAAAAAGAGATTGATATTATTTTTTACTGTTTGCTCAAGTGCTCGTTCTTATAATCCTTCGTGAACAGCAGACAATAACTTGTTTGCAAATCATTCTGTTATAAACAGTGAAATACAGTCAGGAATCAGAGGTTTCATCGAGGCAAAATAAAGTTCTTTGAAAAAAGACTACCAAGAGGGATTAGCTTGTGGATTAAGCTGCAGCTTCGACGAGTATAGCCTGAGGATGGATTGCCCGTGTACTGCAAATAAATACAATTGGAAGCAGAATCAACTGCCAAGCCATTTGTTTTTATTGCAGAGTTCGTTAATATTTCTAATCTGTCTAAGAAATGGGCTGCATGCTGGGAAATCATCGTCTAAAAAAAGGGTTTTGTTAATACATATCATTGCACTCGTATTTAGCACAGTATATATATATATATATATATATATATATATATATATATATATATATATATATATATATATATATATATATCGCATTTTCACCCTGTTAAGATATTGTTAAACCGTGATATCCTACCATCCCCGCATCTGTTTGATATTAACGTTGATTTGCAACAATTGGTATACCAATTATAGGCACTGTATGTCCATAATATGCCTTTTATTACAAATGATCTCATATGAGGAGATATCAGATCAAAAAAATTTACAAGTGGTCAACGGATATGATGGGTTATTTAACAAGATATTAGAAGAGTTTAATGAAGAACATTGTCTTGAAGAGGACTGTTGCAATCTGTTGTTAGCAATGGTGATGATGTGTTATGAGTATGCACTGTCGGAATATTTTACTGTATCTGTCTGCTTTTGTGTGTCTGTCTTTGTGTGGCTGTCTTGGCACTCGCCTAACTGAACTCACCCAGTTGTACTTGAGGGGGTTGAGCTTTGGCTCTTTGGCCCAGACTCTGAACTATCAGCCAACTGGTGTAAGGGATCCTGGGCATACTGGGCTCCATTAAATCAACATATGAAACAGTGTATAGAGTCTGCCTCCACCACACTTTCTTTTTATTTGTGTCTGTGTGCCTCTTTCTTTGTCTCGGTTTCTGTCTCTGTCCTTGTTTTGGCCTCTGTTTTCGTCTCTTTCTATGTCCTCGTCTCGGTCTCTCTCTTCGTCTAAATCTATGTCTTTGCCTCGGTCTCTGCCCTTGTCTCAGTCCCTGTTTCGGTCTCTCTTCCCCATGCTATTGCTCTCTCGCCTCACCAACACAAAACCCCCAGCATACAGGTATCTCTGGCGAGCAGTCATTAACATGAATCATTAATAAAGGAAGATAGATACATTCCACTCGGGAGAGTTCTATGATGGCTGCTTTGGAAAAGTGGGAGAATTAATTCCATCTAAGTCCTGTGCCTGAATCCTTTGAGCAAGATTGCACAGCTGATTAAGAGGATTAAATCCCCCAGTGAGGGTATTGAATCATGGTTATGATGTTTGTTTATAAAATTATATGATTAATATGTATGCATAGATTTGAATATATGTATTTATATATGATTGAGAGATTCGATGTTCGAAGTCCTTAGCAGTTCTGTAAATGTCAGTGAATATATATATATATATATATATATATATATATATATATATATATATATATATATATATATATATATATATATATATATACATACAACATTAAGGGGAATTTAAATTTGAATGTTATTTCTTCCTGCTTCTGTCTGTGCTTCTATTTTTCTATATCTCTTGGTCTCTGTTTACATCTGTCTCTGATTCTATCTTTCTCTCTCTCTCTATCTCTCTCTCTCTCTCTCTCTCTATCTCTCATCCATTCTCATAAACTATTGTGCTCCGGTGGTTCTTACACGCAATTCAAGGTCTTCTCAAAACAATTTATAGGAGATCAGAGACTTGGTAACTTATAACAAGAAAGAAAACTGTCACTGATTCCTATCTTTTTCTCATCATCTGTCTTAGGACTAGAAATTCACAGCCGTTTTTGTAACATGTGGTAATCTTCCATTCTTGATTTATCATGATTGCTTCTCTGGATATAATTTCGTGTACTTTCAGTTTTTGTTATCGTTAGTTTTATTATTTAATGCATTACTAATATTAACGTTATTATTTTTACTGTCAGTTATAATATTATTATCTTCATTCATATTATTGTAATTATTGACCTAATTATTTTAGTAACGTTTAATATTTTTATTATATAAAAATTTTAGAAGTCCTAAAATTTAAAACGTTTTCAAAGACCCCTTAATGGTCTCAAATTTAAACATACACACGGAAACGTACAAAAGATGTTTCTGATTCTTGTTAGCATGGTTTGAGCGTCCCCTTACCACAGCTCAATTTTAGCTTCATTTAACTAGTTTCCTCAGGAGCACGATCCTAGATGCAGTTTACAATCAAATCCCTAAATTCTCCTGGGTGAATGGAGGTAAATCCTTTGAATTGGTGCCTTATCTATCTCCCTTGTCCAGGGTTTGAACTTGGGTAAATGCGCGGCTTGCATAGTGAGGACGAAATCCAGGGAATCATCTTGGCTGTATTTATGAGCGAACTTTTGTACTCTCAGACACCAGCATTAACGGACAATACCCGGCTGACCAGTTTGGGTGTTCATCTCGTTGAACACACCACACGCTAGAAAGTGAAGGGACGACGACGTTTCGGGTACGTTTTGGACCATTCTCAAGTCGATTGTGAGAATGGTCCAGGACGGACCGAAACGTATCGTTCCTTCACTTTCTAGTGTGTGGTCTGGTCAACATATTTCAGCCACGTTATTGTGACTCCTCGTCTGCGTGTTCATCTCTTCCCTCCTGATGGTTCATCGTCTCGTGTGCCGACATGCCCTTGAAAAAAATATGCTTATAGATGATAAATCTGGTGTTGATCACAGTGTGGGAATTTAATGGTAGTGCTGTAGATTCCAGAACTGGTCCTACGTATTTTGTCTATGATATGAGTTTCCTAGCCCAGAGGTTTATAACCTATACTTATAGATTTTCTATAATATCTATAATATAAATTTCTATAAATCTATAATATAAATTTCTATAAATCTATAATATAGCACATCAATACAATATAGCATCCATTTAACCTGTATGGCGCTTTTATATATCTTCCAGTTATGGATATTAATAGGAGCTGCCTCGTATGGGCCAATAGGCCTTCTGCTGTTACAACAAATAGCAATTTGTCTTTCCAAACATGTAGCTTGTTTCTTTATGCATTATTGAGTAATCTTTCTCTAGTCTTACCTTTCTTATCTCTTTTACATTGTCAGATTTTATTATTAGAGATATTTCCTCTTCATAATTCAATTGGGTAACTTTGCAAGAGAAGGAATGAAAATTTCGAGTCTTTCCATAACGCTTCTTATTAGTTTCATCTACACTAACTCTTTCTCTCTCTATATATGTATGTATGTTTCCAGTTTGTTTGGTACTTTCTTACCCGTTTCAGTAACTTTCAAGGTAAAGTGGCTGTAAAGTTTTATACAGCAACGTATAACCTCATTATTTAGTATAGGTTAACTCGTTTTATAAAAACTATTTCTTTAATACCCAATTACTAAGAAAGTTCACCACACCAAAAATGTTCCACCACCAACACACCCCACTCCAAAATGGGAGTTCACCTTCACTCTCTTCCAAAAGATACTCTCCCCAAAAACACTCACCACCCCCTACACACCCAGCTCCCACCATGCCCGGTTCCAGTACACGCCCACCCTCCACAGTCCGCCCACCGCCCCAACATACCCACCACAATCATTGCAAACACCCGCAAGACATTTGACTTCAACACTAACACACCTTCATCATTCCTTCCAAACACGTCTCGATAAACACCTCTAACCGAGCAAAGATTATCCGACATACCTGCCTCATTACAACTGTTCCAACACACCTGTATATGGGCAGTCCCGTAGCCCCACTGTAGAAGAGGACGAGTATGGGAGCATCTCCCACGGTGGAAGGTGTAACGTTGCATGGGAGAAGTGTCCGACCTCCCTCAATAGCGAACACCTCTGTCAGGGGACCTGTAGGATGACAAGACAGAAACTACAGTTCAAATATTAAGAATCATCCCCTCACTTGACAGGTAAAAATACCTGATTCGCCTAATTAAAAAAACTGTAAACAATGTGATGAGAAATAGAAAGATGAGAGTAGACTTTAGATTATAGTAGCTTTTAACAGTAGATTATAGTAGCAATAAAGAGTGGATCATATTATATTTTAAACAATACCTTATTGTAAACATTGCCAGTAGATAATTGTAGACTTTATCAATATAATATAGTAGACTTTATCAGTAGATGAAAGTAGACTTTAACAGCAGGTGAGAATAAACTTTAACAGTAGTTCTCACTTTGCTCATAAGAACAAACCATGATCTTCACATCATGATCTTACGCTGTATAATAGACAACACTGCATGATTTTCAGCAATAACTTTCTTGCTAGATATATCAAAATAGTTCCTAAAGGCTAAATGCACTTAGATCAACTTAAAAACCCTTAAATTAGTTAGGTGCACTTCAGGTCAACTTTTTAATAATGAATTCTGAAAAGGTCGATTATTTTTTTTTTACCAAATATATAACTGGAGTGAAATATTGTGTATTTTCCGGAGTTTTTAAAATTACTAAAAAGTTTAGTCCATCTCATCTTATTTTCAGGGTTAATTGACACTGAAAATACATCATTCTGGCTGAAAAAAATATGCGTCAATTAGGGTAATATTCCATTCGTAATTCTGTAATATATATATTTTCCTCAAATACAATTACGAATGGTAAACGCCAAGCTGTGTACTCAGCTTTAATTGGCTCTGAAAGCGTATAATGAAATCACCTAAAATATTTGTACTTGCCGAAACTGAGTACTGAAATGATTTCCATATCTGGCGCAAACACGTAGTGTTTTATGCTAATTGACCTGAAATTGGG